AGGTAAAACTCTTGATTCCACACTTTAATGGAGCAAATCAGTTATTCTGCAGATTAGCTAGGTAATGTGCACTTTCACGACTTTTGAACTTTAGCGGTATTATATATATTAATAAATGTATAATACATAGATGTAAAATATTTTCATATTTACATACTGTTTATTAGGCCCGGTGGTGCAGTGGCTAACACACCCTGTAGCAGCACCACAGGTCCGGGGTTCGATTCCCGAGCTGGACAAGGTCGACTCAACCTTTCATCCCTTGATTTCCATCACTTGGGTCGATAAAATGAGTACCAAGTTCGCTTGGAGACTAAACACTGGGGGTCCTGCGACAAGCTGATCACTTGTTCAGGCCATATGCTTACGCACCCCGAGGCCCACGGTCAAGAAACAGATTTCGGGCACTGCAGGCCTTGGTCCCATTAGGCTGTTACACCACTTAGTTTACATACTGTTTATTATGTACTACTTGAATCAAAAAGAAAAATATAAAGTCATTCTAATATGTAGTGAAAAAGGAAGAATAAAGTGAAAAGCTAAAAATTACTGGGCTGTATGAACTGAACATGATCTGAAATACTCTTTCAAAACTTACATCTTCATGGCAAGTTATTCACTTTCCATGATTACAGATTGTGTAGCATCCAATTCATTGCCAGACTCTCTCTCTTTTCTTCACAATAATGATATTCAAATTAATCTTTTTTGTTTATTCACCACAACATGAAGAGGATATTTATATTATTTATGAATTATAAAGTTTATTGTAAAAAAACTGTTGATTTTATAGCTGTTCACACTGAACCCCAAGCCTCTCTCGCTGAAGCCAGTGTTTAACTAGCTTTCATTCATACAGAGAATGCTACTTACATTTCAGTTTAACCCTTTCAGGACGGGCGTCCCATATACGCATTCCCTAAGAACATCTCTTACAGCTGGTGTCCCATCCATGCATTACTAAAGATTGCATTCAGAGGCCAGGTGATGTGTATATGCATTTAAGCAGGAACATTTTTCTGAAGGCCACTATATGGCATCCTATATCCATTACTTTCGAAATAAACACAATTTTAAGTTTCTGACCTTGAGTTTGATATTTTACTCATCAACTGTTGCGAGGGTGGGGTGCAGCGAGGGAAAGCGTAAACAGAGGTGGGCTCTTTAAATCCCCGTGCTCATATAAACATTCGTATCTGATTTACATCCAATTCCTTTTTTTATTCCATTTTTTTCCCTCTACTATGTACAGTCTTTTTAGGGTTACTGTGCGGAGTTCTTTTACGTTTTGCATTGCTTCAGATATTTTCGTTTCCTTTTTTATTTAGGAAAGCCTCCTCCAGTCTATTATGCGGGAAGGCGCTATTATCAGAGGAAGAATACCCTATATGGTTAGTGAACCATTACTAACACAAATAAGAGTATGATTCATTTCTAAGAGTTAAAAAGTGATACTTTTTCTAGAGTTACAAGTGATACTTCTCTGGCTTCGAGATTTTACCACGCTCGTTTCATTTAAATTTTGTTACTTCTTACGTAAATAGTCTTTATTGTGTTCTTTTTAATAATTTTAAACTTTATTGATGGATTTATCAATTAAAACTTCGGAATAATTTGAATAGCTCTTCCGAAATATTTTAGAAAAAACATTTTTTTAAGTATATTTTTCGTGTAAATAAAGAAAAAATGTTCAAGGGCTTTTTAGACATATAAGAGCTCAAGTAAAATCTAAAGGATACCAAAAATTACGATGCTAGAAGCGAAACTTTTGTTTTTCTAATTTTTGTTATAAAATTAGGCTTAGCGATGCAAAACCTCCGTCCTGTACGGTGACTGCCTTTGATTCTCTTCCGTCCCGCATGAGCATCTTAAACAAAGGTGTGCCGTCGTGAAAAAGTTAACTCTTATAAGGACCAAGCGCTACACATTCTTCTATGATTCTGATAACATAAGGCCTAGTGCTCCATTTCATCATCATATTGATTAATCTGACATTTATTTAACAAAACAAAAATTATAGAAGCATTACAGTATTTGCATAGCAAAACAATTAACTCTAAAGGAAATATTCTTAAAGCAGAACTTTAAAAAAAAAAAAAAAAATTAAGCACCCTTTTTTTTTTAACTATCTAGGTTCTATACCATTAAAAATATTTAACAAAGTAGAGAAATATATTGCAGTATATAAGCATTAAGGAAAATAAAAAATTAACAAATCAATCTAAATTGCTAAAATTAACTAAATCATTAAAACTAAAGTCTTCATAAATTGTCCATATGATCACACCAATAAAAAGGCTTTCTGTCCATGTATAACAAAGGATAGCCATTCTTCTACCAGTGTTGATAAGGCATTACCTGTTTTGATTTCTGGACATTGTTTCATGGCCATATTGTACTTTTGTATCGAAGATGATTGTTGCGCACATTTGATCAAATAAGGTAAAGGATTATGATTGGTGGTGTAATTCAACTGTGGATACAGAAATCCTTGCTTCAAATTTCTTTGAACTTCATACAATAGCAAATAATTCTCTCTCAACACTAAACCATGACCTCTGAGTTAAAGTTCACTTTTGACTTGCATAGGTTATGGGATAAATGCGTTCCTGAATAATTTTTTTTGTTAAATGTGCTGCAAATTCTGTTTGAGAGGCATCACAAGGTATAAATGCATGGCTGTTCCAAAAGTATTGTATACACTCATGTCCAAAATTATGTTTACATGCATAAATTCACGGATTTCTCAGAGACTATGACTTATAATTTAATGAATTTTCGTGGAATCATACATAACATGATGACACATAAATGCAAAAGAAAAAATTGAAGATCACCTCATATGATTAAAATTGTAGCATGAACAATAAAAATGGTAATAAGTGTGACAAAGAGAGTTAAGAAAAAAAAGGAATGATTCTCACGAATTTAATATGGAATATGATCTCCCCTGACTTGTACACACATATCACAACGTGTTTTAAGGCTGGAAATAACGTTGTTAACCACAGTTTGGGGAATTAATCTCCACTCTTCCAGCAATGCCGTCTTCAGAGCATTTACATCTCTAGGAGGAGGATGTATACGTGCAATTGCTCTTCCAAGGTAGTCCCATAAGTTCCAACACGTTTAGAATCACCAGTTAAACTAAACCGCGACTCATCAGTAAAGAGAACATGGGACCATTGATGTTCAGTCCAGGTCCAGTTTTGATGTTCCAGTTTTGTCCAGTTTTGATGTTCTTTACACCAATTAAAGCGATCCCTCTTTTTCTCTGAAGACAGTAAAACACATACCCTTGGCTTTCTGGCATAAAGGCCTTTTTCATTAAGCCTTCTGTATATTGTTTGCCGTGATGCAACAGTTCCAGTGGCGGCTGCAAGCTCTGAACTTAACTGGCGAGCAGTAGCCTTTCTGTTATGACGGGCAGTTAATGCCAAATACCGATCTTCAGAAGCAGTTGTCATTCGTTTCCGACCTTGTCCAGGGCTCCTTACAACACTTCCATCATTTTGAAACTGTTTCCATAGCTTAGAGACTGTCTGTCTTGAAATATTCAGACATGTGGCTGTTTCCATGATTGACTGCCCTGCTTCTAAACGGCCGATAATTCACCACTTTACAGATTCTTCCAAATGATACTTCGAAGCCATAACAAACCGCTTTGAGTCCCTACACACTGAAATCAAACGCTATGTTGCAGAAATTCACTCAAATATTCAGTTTGCGCAAAGCGCTTGATTCACCCTTGGATGACGTAACGCCTAGATTTGCATATCACAAACCGTTTGATTACTTTTGATTGAATAATGCTAATTAGGCTTGGTTTTCACACATTCCCTGCAAATACGGATCACATTGATTCGATATTTCATTGAATATCATCATTTTTGGGTATGTAAAGATAATTGTAGACATGAGTGTACAACAATGAAGATTTAATTAAAGCATCTTTTAAGTTTCTCAAAATCTATGTCTTGCTCCTCTTTTCATGGATTTCATCAGGTATTTTCTTTTTAAATTCAGTAAGTTGCTATACTAATTCCGAATATTTTGGAATATAATCTGTATAGTAGTTACAGAGATCTAATAAACTGCTTGAGTTGCTTCGTCTTCATTTTTGACCCCCCAAAAAAAGCTTTTATTTTTCGGGATCCGCTCAATGTGTCCCAGACACAATACAAATATGTAATCTGTAGCTTGGACAAATCACATTTTCTAATGTAATTTTGTAATATGATTATTAAAAAAATGCAGAATTTATAGTTAATCATACTGAACCTCCAGCCTCTCACCCTAAAAGACAGTCTGTCTTTCATTCATATAGAGGATGCTACATACATTTCAATGAAACACTTTTGAGGACCAAGTATTATGTACTGATTACATCATGGCATGCGTAAATAATTCTATAATTGGACAAAAAAATAGTTTAGTTGATTAAAATTTGATTTTATTTGGTTAAGAAAATAAACCTTCTAAAATGAAATTTTTATATAACTGTCTTTAAAAATTATTACACTACTAAAATATAGTACAAATATATGTTTTGTTTATGCTATGGAGTTAGATTGTTTTAGGTCAGTAAACTTAAGAAAATAAGTCTTTTCCAAGATATGAAAATTACTTATCTTAAGAAAATTGTTACATTTATTTTGGAACTTTGAAAATCAAGTTTCTTAGAGCTTGTGATGGAAGTTTTGTTACTTTTTTTTTTAATTTGGTTGATATCGGAAAGTTATTTTTAGCATTTTTTGATTCAATGAATATGGAAAAATTATTTTCCAGTATCTTTATGTGTTCCAGATCAAGCACTTTCAGCTCATACTGAAATAGATAAAATGCATCATCTGAAAAGCTTGCTTATTAATTTGTGTATCATTTTTGCCTTTTAAGTAATGAATATATTTGACGAAATTTTATTGATGTATGCACAAAAAGCTTATTAAGTATTCTACTATATTTCAGTTCTTAATTTGGCTTTTTGATATTTTAAATAGAAAGAGCAGATGCAAGAAGCTCAAGATATGTTTAACAAATCCAATAAAGTTACAAGACCTGAGAAAGCCCTTATACTGGGATTTATCGCAGGGTCTCGAGGTAAGTGGTGTATTGCTGTTATATGTTTCAGTATGTTTCTTATATAGTTGAACTATAGTTTCTAAAAGTTGAACATTTAAATTTTTAAATTATGCTATGTATGGTCATGCAAAAAGCAATGACATGTGTAAAATTAGGGGGCATATTAAAAGACATTACTATACAAATAGAACCTTATTATGCATTGATGAAGTTTATTTTTTCTAAATTTGCTATGTTGTCATTTGAAAGAAATTCATGCTTTTTATCCATTAATGTATTCAGTGAAATTGCCAGTGGGCTAATTCCATAAAAACTTATCACAGATATATACTGTCAGTTACAAAGTTTCTTAAGATAAGGTGAAATTTCATGTCTGTCTGAGTAATATTGTTAACTTAAGAAGGATTCTGTAAAGAATTCCAACTTGCAGTCAGAGAGAACTGTAGCAAATCAGAAATGCCTAACAAGGCTTCTCACTTTAAGGAACATGTAATTAGAAATATGTATTTGGGATTTTTATCTTCATCTCTGCTTCTGTTGACATATAAATCTGTGTGAGGCTGGTCCGACCTCAGTTCTTGAGAAACGATTACACAATGAGCATGTTTTAGGGAGGAGGGCTGCATTCACTTTAGACAAGACAACGTGATGGTGAAATTATTTTCCTTTTTATCTTTTCCGGATGTCAAATTTTCTCTGTGAACTATGCATTTTCAATCTTTGTTGTTGAAAATTGTATCAGAAGTTAATGATATGGTAAGCTATAAACGTACAGCATTCTGCATTGAAAATAAATTATTATTAGAAAATTACAGAATGTATATAGCCAAGATGTTTCTGCTGAGAATACAATTTATACAAATCTATTTAGCATCATTTTGAAAAATCAGAACTTGATTATTTATGCGTGAAAAGTAATTTGAATGTGAGAAAAAGGTAACAAAGACAGATCATAATAAGTATTAAAGAAACATTGCTGAAATGGCGTACTGTTCAAAAATTGCAATCTGACATTTTGTGGACAAACATTTCTTGCTAATGAACTTTCCAAGTAATTTGGGGGTACTATACTTTTTGTTATTAAATGGTTGATTGATAAGTTTAAAAAGTAAAACATTTCTTCAAGGAAAGAATCATGGTGTGTTTTCAGCATCTGATTTTCAAGCAAGGAAAAGTGTTTGAAATGATATTTATCATCTCTACAGTGATAAAGATTTTAAATTCTGATGAAGCTGGACTGTTTTGCCAGTTGATGCCGTATAAAACATTAAAATTTAAAGAAGTCTGTTGACAAGAAATTGTCAAAAGTGCAAATCATAGTTCTTGTGTCTGCCAGTATGTTTCTAGTTAGTTAAAGTAAAATAAGATGATCTGAAGAAAACTGTTTAATAAAAACTACAGAAATAGAATAAAGAGCTTTTGGTCAAAAGCAGAGTATTCAGTATTTAACCCTGTAAGCAGCATGACCAGCTTTATCCAGTCATGAGATTTTTTGTTACTTGGTACATATTAGCTTATAACTTAAGATATTTTGCTTTCTTACTTTTTTTAATAATGTATATGTAATCTTAATGAATATAAGTTTATGAAAATAGAGGCTAATGTAAGTAAATATATAAATTTAGCTAATAATTCTTGCATAAATGCAAGTCTTCATGACAGATCCAAAAACCTGTGCCGCTCAGAGTGTTAATTGATTATGTATTGCATGTAACTCATAATACAAACACAATAAAAAGTTTTGTCTAAACTCATAATTCACTGTTTCACTCCCTCGCAAATGTAACTTTTTCCCCTCCCCCTAAAATTCTTGGGCCCGGAAGTGACTATGAGCTGAAAGCGTCATTGCAGAAAGAAGCTTATTTTGTATATATTAATGATGTAAGATAAAGTTGTAGATTATTTCTTTTCTTGCTTGATGTGATGGTAATGCTAGCAAAGTCTTGGTGATTTATTACAAGTTTCATGTTTTGAAATTGTTTTTTCACATGCTTTTAAAGAGAAAGGTGATAAAAATAAAGATTTAACTTTCATGAAGTGTTAAGGAAAAAAGGCATTGTAATAATTTTAGAATGAGAAGTATTTTGTTATAAGTGCATGATAATATTGTTTCATGAAAAAATGTTATGATAGAAATTAAGTGAAAAAATGCTGACAGCTTAGACTTCGGATGATAATGATATTGAAACAACGTTATCCATACAGTATTGATGAAGAATTAGAAGAAATGCAGTATATGGGATGGAAGCACCAGTTGCGTATGTCAAAGGAACAATGTATGTTTCAATGCAGACTTAAGAATTGAGCATGATAGAGGTAACTTCAAATTTGAGGCAAAAATATGTATAACATTTCGTGCAGCCTGCATAAAAATAAATTTGAGATTATGTTTGTGCTCATATGTATAAATGTAATTTGAGATTATGTTTTATATGTAAAAATTGGTGATATTTTTTGAGGGGTTGTGTGCGTAAAGTAAAAATTGAAGATGAATTCAATAATTTTTTTTAATTAATTTTTTGTTGTTATTTATTTTTGTGTTCATACTCATAATATTTATTTATGCATAACATTTTAAAGGGAAATGTCTATGCTATCATGATAAATAATTTATAATACATATTTAGTTATTATTTAGTTAGAATTGAATTTTTTAATTAGAATTATTATTGATGTAATTATTGGATAAGTGTTTGAATAGTGGTATTTTTTTAGCCTAAAGAGTGTTAACCCAAAAGGGTTATTAATTTTGTTTTGGCATTTTGCGTCAATTCACTTTCTGCATTGATTCACTTTTCAAACTGTTGCCACCAACTATTACAGCCCTATATAGTATTTAAAGAAATTAAGTAATGAAGAATCTACATAAAAAATATGTGCATCTGGAAGCCCTGATTTGAAATTTATTATCTATTTCATATTTTGTCAGCATTAAAGAATTTTTTAGTAAGAAACTCAACAATTTCAAAGTGAGGAATAACAACACTGTATAGAGGAAAAAAACATTTTTATCTCCAGCGCATGAGACTTGTATCAGAAATTCTAATGATATGCTCATTTTAAAATTATTCTATCATATTGCTGTTGAACTGAATTTTATGGTTTAATTGTGAAGTGCATGATATTTAATAAATAAAGGTAACACACAAAATGCTTTAAAAAAAGCCCCTTTGGACGTAATGTAAAATCTGAAATCTTTCAGAATTTACTTTAATTTTATTGATTAGCTTTTTGTGTGTGTGTTCACTTCCTTCATACAATCATATGATAGTATTCATATTCATTGAATCAAATGCAGTAAACTATAAATTTGGTTTCTTGAAGGTACATTATTGCAGGATTTGATTGTAATTGAATTTATTTTGAAAAATGTATTTTATATGTATTTATTTGTTTAAAAATTAATTAGATATCCTTTTATTCAGATAACCCATGTCCACATCTGGGCCAAATTGTTACTATAATGCTGAGTGAAAATGAAGAGAAAGTTCAGCAAAGTGATGGAACAGTGCAAACTATGATGGTAGAAACTCATTTTCAAATGAATTACAGCACTGGAGAGTGGAAGCGAGTTAAAAAATATAGAAATATTGAACGATAATGTCTTCCATATTAGTACTGTGGTTATTAGGAGATCAAACCAGTGCTGGATCACTAAATATATGTAGCGAAATTATTTAAGGGGTTTGTCTGCAGTTAGTAAGCTGCTTCTTTGTTTTGTACATACCTAGGTAATTTTTATGGTTACATTTCTACGGTTGTGAAAATGTAAAAATGAAGCATCTGTTACCATTAATTTTGAGTTATGTTGAAAACATTGCTTTGTCTGTGTACTCGTAATGAAATTAAATTTTTAATTTTTGTACGTGTACCTATTGCACTAACTCCATTGCTTCTGTGATTTTTTTTTTTTTTTTTTTTTTTTTTTTTTTCCCCTAATCATTTGTATAAAAATTCATTGCATTAAAAATTGTCTTGGTTATCTGAATTTCAGAGGTCTTACTAGAAAAAATTTGACTATTAAGTTAGACTTACAAAGTAATGTTTTGACATCATGTATAGCATACATTGTGTATAAATATGAATTCTGATATGCCCAAATTATTTTACTTTATTTCTCATTTATGGGAGATGAAAACATTATTCTTTGAAATCTTCCCTTCGCTGTTTCAGTTTATCTGAATGGTTATCATTCTGAAAAGGCATACAGTAATGCAATGGAGTTTTGCAACTGTTTTTGAGGTATTTCTTTTATATATATATATATATTTAATGAATTCTTTTGAAAGCAAAAAGGGCATTAGAAGAGATTTAACCAAATTGGTTTTAATAAAATGTAAAATGATTTAATCAACATTATGTTTGCTGAATTGAGGGGAAATATGCATACTACATCTATCTGAGAAACAAATAATTTCTTAGTAAAGTTGAGCTCCAGAAGTTAGATTGATTCCATATCTTATATAAATATCTGATTTTTTTTTTTTAACCTAACTATAAAGTATTGATATGTGTACTCATACCAGAAAATGGCTTACTATGTGCAATAAACAAGCATTGTTGAAATAAGTTTCATTGATTTACTTATTTGAATGCTATAAAATAAATAAATTCTATTGATTCACTTATTTTAGTTTTATGTAATTTTGATAAGCCATTACTGTTCCAATAAAAATGCATTAAACTTTAAAATATATTTTTAAAAAATACAGAGGTTTTTATTATTATTTCTCCCATATAAATGTATATATAAAAATAAATCTAAAATTTTTATTGTCAGTATTAACCCTTTTGCGACGGCGCACCTTTGTTTAAGATGCTCGTGCGGGACAGAAGGGAATCGAAGGCAGTCATTGTACAGGATGGAGATTTTGCACCAATAAGCCTAATTTTATTTTTAAAAAAAGCAGGAAAAATGTTTTACTTCTAGCATCGTAATTTTTGGTATATTTTAGATTATTACTTGAGCTCTTATATATGTTAAAATTAGCACTTAATAACCTTTTTTTCTTTATTTTACTAGAAAATATACTTAAAAATTGCTTATCTTGTAACATAATTTTCAGAAGCGTTATTCAAATTATTCCAAAGTTTTAATTGATAAAAATCCATTAATAAAGTTTAAAATTAATCAAACAACACAATAAAGACTACAGTGAAAAGTAACAAAATTTAAAATGAAGACTGATTGTGGTAAATCGTGAAACACGGAGAAGTATCACTTTCCAACTCTTTAGAAAATAAATCATCACTCTCATCTGTGGTAGTAAATGGTTTATTAACCATACGAGGGTAATCTTCCTCTGATAAATAGCGCCTTCCCACCATAACAGACTAAAGGTGAGGCTTTTCGAAATAAAAAGAGAAGAAACGGAAATATATCTGAAGGCAATGCAAAACGTAACAGAAATCCACATAGTAACCCTTAAAGACCGTACACAGGAGAGGAGGAAAAATAGAATTAAAAAAAAAGGGGGGAATTGTATATAAATCAAACTCGCAAATGTTTATACAGTCAAAAGTCGTTAATCCGGACTCCTCGGGACTTCAGCGATTCCGGATCATCGATTTTTCCGGATTATAGATCATCAGTTTAAATCTGGTAAGATGGCATGCAGTAATTATAAAATTAAAAATATGAAACCGTAATTTATGAAATAAAGAACAATTATGATCTAAAGGGTATCAAAATTTACAAAAAAAAAAGCTTAATATTTATTTGTTTACTTTATTAAACATTTCTTTCAATGTAAGTTGTTTAAGTTGCTTCTTTTTTATGTGATAATACATTCTCTTTAATTCTATAAACAGACATAATTTCTTGTTCAGTTACAAAGTTCCGCGTTGTTCAAGTCCTATAATTGCTGTGGTCTACCGACTAATTTGTCAATCGAAATTTTTCCGTTTTCAATAACCTCTGTTAATTTCTTCGCTATCGGAAACGAATTACAATGATGAGGAATTTGATTTAAATCATATCAAAGACGGAGTACATCGAGATGAAATACTACATTTATTAAGGAATTATAAGCCAAATAAAATAAAAACATCTGCCCTGAAGATAAGGATAGTGCTGACAGATCAACTTCCAATTCATTGCGCGCCGCAGCGTTAAAGATAAACAAAGATTAGTTAAACAAACGCAAAAGTTTAGATAAACATAGCCTTTATCCATTTTTTGCAGCAATTCCACTTTTTGTTTAATGAACTTTGAAACATACTTTCACTTTGTAGATCCTTTACATATTAATAAATATATATCAGAAATTCTATTTGACATAATCGAAAGTTCAAGCTTACTTTTATAAAATTGCTCTAACAGTCTGAAAAAAAATAATAAGCCGGATCCAATTCGAAGATTAGGGAACAATGCAATCTGCAACATTAACTGAAATAGATAATTAGATAATTTTAGCTTAGCTTATGCCATCCGTTATACATTAAACGTGCACTCGTAAACGTATTTTTTGCACACGCACAAGCATATTCGCAGCCGTAAAGGTCTTGCGCGCATGCGTAGAAAGTTTGTAGCTTTGAGGTCCGGATTATGGGTGTCCGAATTAACGACTTTTGACTGTATTAGCAGAAGAGCCCACTTCTGTTTATGCTTTCCCTCCCCCCCCCACACCCTTGCTACAGTTGTTGAGTAAAATACCAAAGTCTGGCAGAATATATCAAACTCAAGGTCAGGAACCTAGAACTGTGTTCATTTCAAAAGTAATGGACATAGGATGCCATCTATTGGTCTTCAGAAAAACTTTCCAGCTTAAAATGCATATACGCATCACCCTTCCTCTGAATGCAATCTCTAGTAATGCGTGGATGGGACACCCGGCTGTAAGAGACGTTCTTAGGGAATGCGTATATGGGACACCCGTCTTGAAAGGGTTAAGAGCGACATGATGAATAATCATTGAAAATACTAGAAACATTGTTTTGTTTGCTAAAGTGAATAATTAGCCATTTATTTCCTGCTTTGGACATGAAATTACTGCAGGCAGCATGTTTTATATTATTTACAATTAATATGGATTTTGTTCAGCTTTCACATATTGTTAATGTATATTTATATGCTGAAATCCTGTTAATGTTAATAAAACTAAGAAAACTGTAAACTAAGTACAAATTTTATAGTTGTTTTTAATGAAATGGCTACATTTTTTCTGGTAAGTGCATTCTGTTAATATTAGACATGCATTTTTATTTATCTTATAACAATGTGCGTAAATAAACAATTAACGCATCACTTTCGTAAATGAAGTTACAAAAGTGGTGTGTTAATAATTTTTGAAATCTTACTTTAAATACTAATATATTGCAAAATCATTTTTTGAACTGATGATCCTTTTCTTATATTTTAAAGAAATTTCATTATGTGAATGTATTACTTTAAGAAAATTTTAATCTTCACTCCTTATAATGAAATTGACGTATGCTACTTCTTTTAAAAGTTAAGTGAAAACTTATTACCCTCTTTCACAGCAATCATACATTTTCTTTCATTATTCAGCCTTTTACAAAAAAAGGTGTTTTTAAAATGTGCCATATAAATTTTTGAGACAAGCGTACAGGTAATGAAATTCATCTGATTTTTAATTTTTCCAATTTATTTCAGAGTGCCATTAATATTTTCAATATAAAACATTTCAGATATTACTTCAGATTTTAGTGCTTTCCTTTTATATTTATTTAATTTGCTTTTTTATTTCATTCTATATATTTGTATATCCACGTACACAATTTCTGCTGAACACTACATCTTCAGAAGTATACAGTTTTTTCATTTATCTGTCATTTTTCCCTCCACAATTCATTGTGTAATTGTATCTGTACATCAGAGGTAATAATTAATGCAATTTGTATTTTAAGGCATATTGCTAGATATCATATGTTAGGTAATTATTTGCATTAAATAAACTTGTTTGAAAAAAGATCATGAAGTGAGAATTTGAGAAGTTTTTTGCATACACGTATAATGTTAATAAATTCAGATGAACTTCATTTCAGTAAATCAATTTTTTTATAATTCAGTATGTATGTCTCTGATTAATTTAATATGCAAGTGCAGAATGCACTTTATCTTTTATTTAATTCTATTATTTATATATGTTTCAGTATGTGAGTATAATGACAAATTTGAAATGAGGATTTTTATATGTTGTGATATAATTAATTCTATAAAGATTATAAGGATAATTTATTGTTATCTTGTGTGACTCTAGTCATTGACTGCAATCATAATATTAAACTTAAGTAACATTTTCTGTCTAATGATTCATTCATAAATACTATGAAATATATAATGGAAATATTATGCCATATAATGGAAAATATTGACTGTGTCATTACATCATTTTTAATTCATTATTTGAAAATAAATTGATTTCAACACAATATTAATTATATTAATATGTGGTTGTTTGACTTATGGGTATTTAATATTTTTACTGTGTGTGATGGTATCACTGTTATCTTTCTCAACATTCTTTTTCTTACATGCATATAGTTTATTTAATTCTCAGAAATTTTTTAAATGCTGTGAGTTTTCTGATTTTTTGATATTTGGATATTTTAAGAAGTGAAATTTTAAACGTATAGAACATATTTTTTAATAGTTATGCACATATTCATTAATATGCTGATATAGTTCTAAGCTAAATCTAAAGCGTGTATGATTTTAATTCGTTGTTATTACCATTTCTGTGTTCAAAGAATAATACACTAATATGAGCTCAAAGGAAATGTAAATTGCTAAATATATATTGTTTTTATGTGTAAAATATCAAAATTGTGAAAATATCCTTCTGTTCAAGAAATTTATGAAAAAGTGTCATGTACCTGAAAGTTGCAATAATTGAATTTGGCTGGTAGAGGACATTTACATACTCATTATAGAAGAAATGTACAATGATTT